GTTGGAAACTTGTTGTCGATGGCGTACATTTTCCTCACCACGTGACATTCATATGGAGTACCTTCGATTTCTTCAAATATTATACCAAACTGTTCTTCAATCTGAATAACAATATATCATGAGCATAACACCATATTCAAAATGTTAATAATCAATTAATTATGTCACAAGTTCCAATTACATTTTACCTTCTTCTTCTTGTCTTCAGCGGTACCCTGTAGGCTCTCGCTGTGAGTACCAACCAGCACAATTTGAGGTTTCTTGGCTTGCAGTGTAGCCTGTGCTTGTGACTCAACAGGGACAGCATAAGTATATATCAACCTCATCCAGTATTTGATAATCTGTACATTTGTCATATCATATGTCATCACATCTTGTTTTACCTGAAGAAAAAAAATTACAAGATTTTGACATGAATGTTTAAGTTAAATACAGCACTCACATCCACAAAACCACCATTATAAGGAAACAAAAATTTACCATTCTGGAGACTCTACACTTCCCCTTGTCGTGCATACCTTCCATCAAATTGAACAAAATCAAATACACTGCTTCACTTGTTAGGAATATCTAAAAGAAAATGAGAAAATTTATTCTTAATTGATGATCTAATAGGCTGTGTAATCATTCTTCAGAAATCATCTCAGCCAAATGAATGGCATTAAAATTGGAAGAAAGTTTTTCCGGTATTGGAAAGGATTATTGTTTACACTGGGAATCCTGGCCAGGATTATTGCTTACACTGGGAATCCTGGCCAGGATTATTGCTTACACTGGGAATCCTGGCCAGGATTATTGCTTACACTGGGAATCCTATTAGTAGGGTACACAACTAAATTGAGTACTTACTCGATGTGTAATATAGTAGAGCTGCTGGCCAGCAAAGTCCCAAATGTAAGTCATGTCCTCATTACTAGTTGATGCAGAGGCCTTTCCAATCATTCTGTCAATTATTCGTTTTTGCCTTTCTGATGGCAGCTGTGCTTGGCTTGGGTCACTGACTTTTCTCTGTTAAGAATTATGTTAGAAAGACACAAAATGTAATTATTTTCAAATATTATAAAACATTACTAACAAGATGAAATTCATTACCAATTATTATTCTATGTATTCTTGGAAATATATCATCTAGTCTTTAGTTGAATTAAAATAATCTAATTATTGTGGAATTTTTAATTATAATTGCTACATTTTGTTGGCTAGTTAAAAAAATGTTAGTTTTCCAAATGTTTTAATGCCATAATCTCTTAATTACAGATTATCAAATTATACTTGTATTGTTTTTAATTTTAATAATGAAATTTTAATTTTTTAATTTTTTTCTGATAAAAAATGATAGTGTACCGGGTATTATATTTTAATGAAGTCGGTTAATAAACCTATTTTAGCATTATTATACTATTGCATGAAAGCACTGTAAAAGTGTACATCCATATAATTTGCAAAGAAGTCCCCCACTAGGAATATAATAGGAAAACTATCGCCAATGATATACAATATTTGTATTTCTGAGTAAAGGTTTTGGGGCAAAAACAATTGATGGCTCAGGAAAAAAAATGAATGTTTACACAGACTACATTGTTTTGTTCAGTATTTTAAAACTAAACTAAATCAAATCAATTGTTAACCAGAGGTATATAGTGACAGAGGTGTACACAATTATTTTAACTTGAAATATTTTAAAAGCAATATACAGAAGAACAACAATGCATGCTGTGAGAAACATTGAGTCTCA